AAAAATTTTTTTTTAAAAAAAAAATTTTTTTTTATAAATTTTTTTATTTTTGTTTTTTTTTTTTTAATGATAAAAAAAAAAAAACCCCCCCCCCCCCCCCCGGGATGACCATGTCAAATTAAAATTTTATCTAAAAATTTAAAAATTTTCTTTGCCGGCCTAATCATATGACTATTACAATTCATTTCAAAATCATCTTAACTCCGTCAAAATGCCTATTGTACATGTAAAATAAGTTACAATTCTAAAGATTTGAAGGATTGGGAAGGTTTACCTGTTGAAAAATAAAAGAATTTTTGGAAATATATCGATTCTATATTTATCACCTGACTGGTGGGAAAGCAGATTTTGAAATGAAGTTTAGCCCATCAAAAACATTAGTTGGAGAAAAAATTTCACAATGTATTCACTTGGGAAGCTGCATGAAACTAAAGAGTTGTAAGAAAGGAATTATACATAACGAAAATACAATAAAGCTTTAATCTACCAATAAAATTACACATGATATATATAAACTTTTTTTGTTAAAATTTGAAAAAGTGACCCGGCCGGGTGACGTGAACCGAAAAATCGAAGTTGCATGGCCTAATCTAGACTATTTTCTACTGCTAGTTAAGCAATTAGAACCTTTGGTTAAAGAAATTAAAGCGCGAAAATTGAGCTAAGAAGACCAAGCGGTAACTATTCAAGCTCAATTAGCCAAAAATGGTGGAAAAGAAGCAGAATTTATGAATAGCGTAGTAGATGAGCGATTACGAACTTTATTATTTAATAGAAAAAAAATAATAATTGAAACCTAAAACCAGACGGAACCTTCGAAACAGAACTGAACAGTCTGTCACTGCAGCGAAGGTAAGCCATCGATAGTTTCTTTTTTTCTTTTATTTTATTTATTTATTTAATATTTTTTTTAAATGTTTTTTTTATTTCCTTTTTTTTAGGTTCGATCGGATCCCCCACTTAGTTCGGTTCAATATTTTCCGAAATGTAAATGAACTTGCCCCATTCAAATCCTGGAAAGACCATAGAAATAAGGAGTCTCGTTCAATTACTTGAGCATGATCGGGACTTTCATCCCATAAATTTGAAGTTCAACGTTTTGGTTTAATTGGAGTCTCTTTAAACTCTATGCTCTCTATTAAATTGGATGCCGTTTGTTAATATAAAAGATCGGAATCAAATTCCAATGTCGCTCTTCAGAGAGCAAGGATACAATCCAGCGGCGTCAATGCTGTTCACGTCATCCCAAGTACTTTGTATCTGACAAACTTTAATATTATCTGAATCAAAAGTATGTGTTAATAGTGGAAATGAATCTTCTGGTTGTGAACACTTTAATGTTAGGAGTTAAATTATTATTTGATCGTCAAAACTAGTCATCAATGGTTTGGATTTTTTGAATTTTGTCAATATTATTTGGTACATAAAAACTAAAAATATTCAATACCCTCAAAATTTCATAACCTTTAATCAAATTCTCATTAAAATCAAATACCTTCCACTCATCTTTAACCTCAAATCCATATTAATTATTCTGTGTGTATCCTTAAAGGCGTTCTTAATAGGATTGATACAAAACATACACGTCATTCCTTTCACTGTAATGAATTGATCGACAAATCCACAATTTCGATAGTTCCAATGATTTGTGATTTTGTCATTTTTCTCATTGAAAGAAATTGTCGCTTCATTATTTCTAAATTTACAATAATATTAACGATTCCTGATAACGAAGCAACTGTATTAGTTATTGAATTTAACACAAAACTGATATATATTGTTCATGAATTGAAATCAATTCCACTTCAACGAAATGCTGTTGAAATGTCAATGGAGAAACTATGGTTGTAAATCCCTGATGATATTAATATTACTATAACCTCAAGTCGATTAGCCAATTAGCAAGAGAAACATTTGGATTATCAAATTTTTTTTGATTCAAACTTCAAATGATTTTGAGTCGGATCGGAAGAATTGATTGAATAGGACTATTTGTTCTGTCTTTATAAAATAATAAAGGGAATGAATGATTATTACAAAAAAAAGAATTGAAATTTATATTTCTTTGTCATTTGGACGATGATTTAGCAATAATTGTGGGAAACAAGAATTTATATTATACTCGAATGACCTCTGAATTTTGAGAATAAGATAACTCATTTAACTGTTTACTAAAATTATTTATTTGATTGACCGTTTCACATGTTTCATGTCCAAATAAAACGGGTAATAATGAAAAAAATTTTCAGGGTTTTAAAAATTTTTTTACAAAAGCGTACCGTACAAGATTTTTTTTTTTTTTTCTTTGACATTTTGTTCCTTGATCAACCACATTTATATATATAGGTAAAAAAAAATTATGTTGTTATATTCAGAATACTGATCTGAACGTAGTGATTATGCTTTTCTTACTAAAGTATATAACTTTTGAAATTTTGAAAAAAAAAATATTAAAGTCCGTGATAATGCTGAGCCACTAAATAAAAATGACAAAGTAGCTTTAAACAATGCCATGCTAAAATTGTTAAAGCAAGAATCATAATTATAATATTTGGTTAAATATAAAGCCAAATCTGCTCATTACTGTATATTATTATTAACCTGATCACGACCGACCGTTACCATCTCTAAGTTTCCATAAAAACAGTGCGTTAGACAAAATTTTCCTAATTCTAAATTTAATGAACCATCAATATTATCGCAAAGGTTAAGTCCTTTAGTTTCTTTTTATTATTTTCCAGGAATTCAATTAAGTATTCATCATCTGGACAATTAAATCCAAAATGTTATAATTTGCAATTGCGGAAAGGCAGCATATTGAAGTTCATAAACCATTTTAAACCGCCTATTTCGTTAATGAAAGTTCTTGTAAAATTTCGAAATTTCTGAAATTAGTGATCATGGTATACGAATACTTCTTTCAACAATGCGTAATTTGGTTAATGTATTAAACGGTTGAATTGTTTCTGTCAAATACAATTCTACTCCAATTACTTTATATGTTTTTGAACAGAAACTAATTCTGCTAATACATTTGGAATGTAACCTCCAAAAATTAACATTAACGATCGTAAATTGTGACAAATTCGAGATAGTTTATAAAAAATTCAGTAGAAGTATTTGAATAACGCTTCAATTCAGAAAGATCTCTTGAACAATTTTCTCCGCCAGGATAGTTGATAAATGAAGGTATATTTATGTAGTTTGTACGAGTGTAAAATCCAAATGAGGTTTGATTCGTTAACATTTTAAATACTTCTCGTGCTATCGTCATAATTTGTTGATTTTCTAGATTTAAAAGATGAAAAGTTCAATGTGTCCTTAAAGAGATCTCAGGACATTTGATTTCCCCGGCAAATATATCTTCCGGACAAATCGATGTTCCTTGTGCATCATGTAGCCCGAACAAACTGTTCTTGTATAAGAAAAATATATAAATGATGGCCTTCGACGGAAGTTAGTCAACTTTGCATATAATTGGCTACATGGTAATTTTTTCACAAAATGTGCTTATTAAAAAGTTTTATTGATTTAATTTAATCATAACTGGTTTTAATATAAATATAGACGTGATCAATGTTGGCAATTTTATCATTCTAATTGCATGAATTGGACAATTGGACATATAAAAGTCATATGTCCAATTCAATAGTGGCGCAGCTTTACTAAGTCCAATTGATCCAATTGCCAACACTGGACGTGATTATACTGTGTGATTATAGATAGGTTCTTCTCCCTTCACTCTCTTTAATTTTAAATTATAATTTAGTATGTTGTAATTATCTAGTTTAATGAGGCAGCACTTTGATCAATTGATTTTTATTAAATAATTTATATCATATTTACCTAATATTAATCTTCTGTTTACCATTCCTTTGTTTATAAATATAAACGTTAGTAACTTTAGTCTTTGCTAAAGATTGATTATAAGTACGATTTTGATAATTAGTGCGATATTCGAATTTTTTTCTCCAAATTTCTCTTTCGACGTCGAGACGCGTTGACCAATACATACGAAAGAATCGTACCGGTACGGAATTTTACGAAATAAGTCTGTACTGTCGTATTCTAAAATATTAGGTCAACGTGATATTAATATGAATTAAAATAATAAAAGGATTAGCACTTTGGTTAAATATATGCGCCAGGTCAAAGATTTAAATGCAAATTTTGACTTGGTCGAGCAATCTTTTTTTTATTCTTGATGATTTTTGAAATTAATATTGAAAATTTCACTTAAACAATCATAAAGTAAAAAAAAAATATTTTTTTAATGCTAAGTAAATTAAAACTTTGAGCGTTAAGTTAAATTTATACTAATAGAGCATGTGATGTTGATCAATTAAAAAAATTTTTGATGATCCGACTCTTGGAACCGGTCCGGAGTCGGGTTCCGGTTTTTAAAATTGGTTAAAAATGGTTTGCAACCCAGGCAATCCCAGAATATGTTGTTTTTATAATCGATCCCTATATATGGAAGATTGCTAGAAAAATCAGGCTCTGGGAATTTTTAAACAAAATTTTGTTTTTTATTGCATTTTAGTTTTTGATGTTATAAGGACAATTTTAGTCAAAAAAATTCCCAGAGCCTGATTTTCCTAGGTATAATTGTCGATATCCACAGTACAAGACCACCATAATTTACTTTTCATTCTCTAGAACCATTGGTTGCGAATTAATTTTTCGAAAAAAATGCACTAATTGACTGTTCATTCGTTTAGGTGACAATTAATTTGTCATATTTGGAGAAATTTCCATTAATTTTTGTTTTAAAAAGATTTTATTAACGCATCTATAAAGGAATAATAATAATAATAATAATAATAAAATAAAAAATAATAATAATAATTATAATAAGTTATCACAACTTGACCTCTTGTCATGCTATTTGCGAAGTTTTTTTTTTTTGGTCTATTTTATCAATTAAATGAGTAATCAAAATATTAAATTCGTTGGAATTCCTCATCCCCTTGTATTTTTTTTTAAGTATCGATACATACATAGCAAAATGATTTAACCTTGGTCAATACCAAATAAAACAATATTGTAAAAGTCAGTATTGCCATAGTGGTAAAGACGCTATTCATTCATTTTAAAATAGATTAATCGGTAAATATAAAAGTGATGACCTATAAACAAAAAGCGCCACAAATCTACAAGCAATTCATGCATGTGATTTACATAGCACAATGTGCATAAATAAACATTATTTTGGACTTGTGTAACCTCGGTTCGGAGAAATACATCCGATTTAGATATAAAGAGTTCGACAAATCTTATTCCTTAATTTTTACATAAACCCGAGTGAGAATTCACCTTATATAATAAAACATATTTTTTACATTTAAAATACAAGCATGACAAAATCTGAAACAAAACATGACGAATG